TAATATATAATATAAAATGTTTGTGCAAACTGCTGCTTTCCATTTAAAATTATTTTCGAACCATATCTCCGTGTTCAGTTACATATTTCTTAGAGTCATTTATGTATTTTGTGTCTTTAATACATTAGTAAAATACTGTTACGGTCTGTTTTTTAATAAGGTGGCAAAGAATAACCCACAACGAAATGTGCTTATTGAAGTATTGCAACTATTTATTCGATAATTATAAGCAACATCACTACCTCAAGAAAGCACATACCGATACAATTAGGCGATATGGTCAAGACGCGGAGCGCGGGCGCAACGCGCTAACTTCACATTTACTACATTTGTCATAGCCAACGCGGAATAGTGCTGTGATATAGTGTTATCGACACAATTTTTATTTTTATCTATTACTTTGTTTACATACTATATTTCAAAGCCAAATGAAAGTATTAAATAAAACTGACATATTATTATCGGAAGGTTGCCAATAGTAAAGGCCCATTTACACGGTGCCAGTTTCTTGCCTGTTGTATACAATTAAATTGAAGCAATAAATAAGTTGCATGGTCTAAACAACAAATGGTCTAACCAATTATTGCGCGCAATTTATTGCATTCAATTATTGCTCTTGCATGTACAAGAAAATGGCATCGTGTAAATGGGCCTTAATTGTTATTTAGATAAAAATCATTGAGGACTTGTTAAGAGAGCATATAAGTAATGTTGAATAATTTAATTCAGTATATGGAAAAGTTGTGTTCTAAATGTATGTAAAATTCATTCCGTTTTATGTTAAAAAGATGCATGCGTGCAGTAAATAAATTGTACACCCGAACGCCGCACATCGCCAATTAATACTATGCCTATTGTTTAGCTCGTGTGTCATTGAACTGTTTGAATAAATGTATTTAAGCCCTGTCGCGGCCGATCGCTTAAACCTATAGAGTAAGTCTTTCATAATTAATTAGATCACAATTTACGTATACACGTCATTACACGTCAACGGTTTAAATTCAGTCATCATCTATGAGATCACTTCTAGAGCAATTGTCATTCTAATCACAAGGGAGTACGTTTGTTTTTAAGTTTAAATTTATTCATCACACCTATGATTTTAAGTCATAGGTGTAATGACTAAATAAACTATTAGTCTAAAGAGAGTAAGACTTTAACTAAAGTTTAAGTTCACATGACATGCACGATTTTCATCCATAAGTTTATTTCTAGAGCAGTTCATTTATTTTAGTCCTTTCATAAAATTTTAATTTAGTCACATTTATGATTTGCAAACCGAGAGTAAGTTTTTCTTTATAACAAAGTTGACCGCAATTTACTTGCACATTTACGTCACCGGTTTAATTAAATCTTCTAGGAAACATTGATATTTTAGAATCTTAAATAGACATAATGCGGATTAGTCATTAAAAATGAGCTGGAACAGAAATCGAGCCAGGCTATATTGAAAGTGTCGTTTAGTTGTATATATTCATTGTGATAGCCATCGTGGAGAGATGATGAATCAACTTGGCAACGCAGCCATGTTGCAAATGGCCAATGACTGATGAGAGCAAGGCAACTTGATCAGCGATGGTCTTTTGTCTTCGTTCTATATTGAATTTTATAATCAGCAAATCATTCATAATTAGTCCCTCAGTCCGCTCGGTACAGTATTTTAAACGTCAAATTTACATTTAAACGGATTAAATTGACAATAATCGATGAAAACATTTCATTAAACACGAGAAATTATTATATAAACGATCCCACTTTACAACACACACATTGATACATTTCCTCTTTTGAACTTCATAAGAGAAAGACAATTATAATACATTATATTTACCTTCTCATTGTCTTTCTCTTGCATTGTAATATTGTTTGGAAGAAGGTGACAATTATTCGAAATCACCCACATTTAGCACATTTTAATTGTCTACACTAGGCAACAAAGCATAAGACTAGTTCAAGGGCGCGGTAAAACATGAAACCACAGACTATCGAAGCCCCACGATAAATTGACACGCTACCCTCTCTATTCCAGGGGAAGCTATTACGTGGAACTGTTATCTGCGCGTCTCGGTCCATCTCTCATTTTTGGACCGCACGGGAGGCGGCCAGGGCGATAAGAGCGGATTAACTCCAACTATTTATCATCTGTTGGACTTTTTTTCACTACCGTCCGCGGCCGTCGGACCAACGACCGCCTGGGATTATGGGAGCCGCCTAGATAATCGACGCGCGACGGAAAACTGTTTTAAATTTTTTTCGAAACCGCCAAATGACGATCGTTGTGTTACGTCATTCGCATCCAAATCGTTACTCTGAATTTTGTTTATAATTTTTTGTAGGTGATAAATATCATTAAGCCTAATTTAATTGCATTCGCAAGTTTTTTGTCATTTAACTCGACGCAATCCTTATAAATCGATGCAACTATAGAAAATAGAACAGTAAATGAGAAAGATTAAATAACATAATTAAGGGTAACATCTATTTACAGGAAAGAAATTGTCTTGATATAAAAATTGCTAAATTCAAATAGTCTTAGGGAAGTGACAGCCCTCTTTAGCAATTTTTCATCAACAAAAATTTAACATCAACAGAAAAAGCAAATGAGTTTATATCCTTAAGATAAGAATAGACTCTTCTTAAAGGTTCCTTAGTAGTAACGATCTGGAAATACTGCTGACGATTGACTCCACAAAGTGGTAGATTGTTAAAATGACTCTTTCAGAATACAGTGATTAAAAAGCAATAAATAGTTGTTGCTTTAATATTCATCACTATGTATAACCATAATCCATGAGATTTTTTTTTTTTTTTTTATGCGAAAAGTTGTCAAACGAGCTGACGGTTCACCTGATGTTAAGTGAATACCGCCGCCCATGGACATCTGCTACAGTTGTTACAGAAGCGTTGACAACCTTTTGAAAATTGGGCTCCGGCTACCTCACTCACCAGACGAAACGCGAAAGTATTTGTCATACTTCCACTTTACGCTGGTCTTCTGTGCGGTCGTGGTCATTACCCGGACGGGCCTGCCCATTCGTGCAACAGCCGAGGCTGCTGCGTGGACCTACCACCGTAAATCATATTTGTACTGCAATTGTTTTTATACTTAAATGAGAGCACGATAATACTCCCTATACATATGTTTTACCGTACGAATTATAGTTCTTCTTTCCTACAATTACATTTAATGTTTTCATATATATTATTTCATTTATACTGTTAACTCAAAATCCATTATCGTCACGACACTGGTCAGATTTTCAAACAAGGTGACGGAAGAGGAGAACTCCGGTTATTTTTTTATTCGCATCTACTTACGCACAATAACACACATCGGACTGCATTCAACAATCCAATAATCTCCTTTTCAAAATATATTGGCCGAACATTAAACTTAATGATGTCACCATTAACTGTACGTCATACAATTATTGATATTAAATTAGCCTCTTAAATAATTGTCGACGTACAAACGATGCGACGTAAGGCACCAACAAAACAATTCGAGTCCGACTAAAAAGTCGAGGCACCGACTCGACGCGAGCTTCCGACAAATAGAACGGGATGGGAACGACGCGCGAACAGCTGATCGGAACAATGACGAAAAACAAATGAACCTATTTAAATGAAAGACTCTAGATGTGAATGAACCCAGCACCTTGAGGGGCTCCTGATGTTCTCGCAAATGTAAAAGAACAATGCCCTATTGTTGTCGGGCTACGTCATAGGTCGGAATATAGGTCAGTGTGGGCCCAAATGTGGCGATCAGCTGATCGTGGGATCGCGGCGGGGTGGGGGGCTTTGTATGGCAACACCGGTTCCCGTGCTAATTCAACGTATCGATGTTATCAACAGCCGTTGTTCCATTGTACTTGATACTGTGATTAGTCGGTTTCGATGTTGCCCACTATTAAGCTTTTCGCAACACTTAGGCTATTCTGGTTCTTGTTATTAAAATCGAAGGATATTTTAGCGGGTTTCGGTTTCTATTAATAATTTTTGCGGCCGAATTTACAAGTTTAGGTCTTCATGTATTGAACTTGCATCATTTAAATGGTTACGCGTTTCAAGTGTGACACGGCAAAATATTTAATAAAGAGGTATAATATATAAGGCGCGAGTTTAATTTTAGGGGAAATAGTGAAACGCTTAACAGTAAAATATCATAATTTTGCTCATACACTACAAATTGGCGCCAACGATATACAGACCTTTTTGACGACCCAATTAGCGTGGTGGATAGCGAGCCTGTTCCTTGTGCCAATGTGTGGATTCTATGCCCACTACAGCAAAATATTGCATGATGAATAGTGTCATACATAACCAAGGTACAAGAAAAAACATTATTTTTCTAGTGTCTGGTTGATTTTACTTATATAATATGCATTTACCTACAAAAAAAGTTTAAGTATGTTTATCTCTCTTTCAAGTGGAGTTTAATAGGAGTCTAATAATTGTACACATATTTGTAATTTTTTTGGCAAGTAAAAAAAAAATAATGTCCCGCTGAGTTTCTTACGCCGGTTCTTCTCAGGTCAGTGGCTTACCTTCCGAACCGGTGGTAGAGTTTTTTGACTATCAATAAGTAAGTGAATGCTTCTATATTGAATAAAGATATTTGACTTTGACTTTGACTTTGACTTATCAGATACCTATTATCCATAAGAAAATTTGCTTAGTAAGTTTTTTTACTATTGTTGTACCGAAAGGGTAGTTCCGTACGGGGAAGTACCATGACCTCACTAAAAACGGCCAGTAGCGGAAGTGTTACATTTCCGCGTTTCGTCTGATGAGTCAGGTAACCGAGTTCCACTTTATTTAAAAGTTGCAACGTATCTGCAACCCTATGATATGCAAATGTGTGCGGCGGGTACATATAACAGCAGACTAACCGCCGGCTCGCTTGCCATCTGCATCACAAAAAAGATAACGCTGTTTAAATACGTTCCGAAATGCTTATTATTTGATTTTTCTATAAGCTTTAAGTCAGCCATAGTCTAAACTTTGAGGATCCGCTTCCGGACAGCGGATATACGCGCGGGGCGGCCAATTACCGCGGCCCACGAGAGCGCCGCGGTCCGCGAGACAATGGGACATTGTTTGTTTTCGCGTCCGAAGCCGTGTCGGACGGCACGCGCCGGCCCGTTTTGTTTACCAATTGTTCTTATCTCGCATCTAGGAGCGTCCTTGAGAGGCAATTGTCTCGGTGTGCGGACGCTGAGCGCTAACCGCCGCCGTCGGCCGCCTATACGATGTGACGGTTTCGATAGATCCGCGCGGGGAATCGTCGGCGGATCTAACGAAACCGTCACAGTGACATGTCCCTTTTCATTTTATAATCAACTAGCGACCCGCCCTGGCTTCGCACGGGTGCAATATCCCTTACTAATATTATGAAGGCGAAAGTTTGTATGTATGGATGGATGTTTGTTACTCTTTCACTAAAAAGCTGAAAATTTATAAAGATGTTGTGTGAATTGTCCAAAATATAGGTAATGAAGTGTCAACTAAGTAGGAAAAAATTCAGCCATCTGCGAGATATTCTGGTGTATAATAAAAACTCACTGTTAATTTCCTTTGGCCGTGCGGGCGAAGCCGCGGTTAACAGCTAGTTAAACATCTAAACCTTCCTCTTGAATCACTCTATCTATTTAAAAAAACACATCAAGATCCGTTGCGTAGTTTTAAATATCTAAGCATACATGGGGACAGACAGACAGCGGTACTACTTTGTTTTATACTATGTATGTAGTGATGTTTCAATCACCTCCTCAAAATTCTCAGGACCATCCGAAATTTGACAGGTAAATAAGTCCGTTTTTATATATTTTGTGTGCATAAATAATGAAAGAATAAGATAAATGAACCGTCTGGTGCCATTACATTCATTCATTACGTGGTTAGTTAACAGCGGCCACCGCACATTTACCACCTGGTTAATTTACGGCTAAGACGCGACTGCGGGTAGTACGGTGAGTTGGTTATCCGTCCTAATTCCATAGACAATGTTTTCCTTATAACGTTTTGCAAATTGGTGTGTATCGAGGTTTTCAATTTTATAGAACCTATTCAACCTTCGTCCTCAGTCGTTTTTTATTAGCGTTGAGCTATTCGTTGGTCTTATTGCGTTACATTTAAAATAGTATTTATTTTTTACGGTGTAAAACTATTCTTAATGTCATCATATCTACGGCATAACGTAATTCAACTATTAAATTATACGGTTCTATAAAGCGCATACCAAACTCATCGTCATCTTCTCGTTTGCCACCATTTCCATTTAGCAACGAAAATTTTCGGCTATCTGTGTTTACATACTGTTACAAATGAAACAATAATACCAAAAGACCAACGCTCTAATGACCCAAAACTATAATTGTCGCTTAATTGGTGAGTAAAAGTGAGTGATGTCTGCACGGGAATAGTTAACTTCGTCACAGTTAAGTCTCGAAGTTAGCGTATTGACCTGACACGGCACGATTGATTGGTAATGAGCAAGTGAGGGATAGCGTGAACAGTACTGCGAGCACTCAGCTCTAGTTAAGAGTCGAAGCGGGCTCGACCACAACCCATGTAGACAGGCAACATAGCTCGTATCAGACAGCTATAATATACCTCTGTTTGAATATATTTAAATTAAAAAGAATACATAATTGGTCAATAAAAACTATAACACTTCCGCTTCATATCGATGTGTCCGGACGAGGCTGAACATTCGAGCAACGACAGAAGTTGCCGCATAGATCTATTAATTACCAAGGTGACAGAATTTGAGAGATCTTTTGATTTAAATTATAAATTATACTAAAATGTTTATCTTAAGAACGTGCGCGCATACTTAGAAGTTAAATGCGGCAAAAAGTGTATAAGGGATGCGGTCAATGGAAATATGTACATGGTCTCTGCTATCGCCTTCTTAGAGACAGGAGGATGAGTATAAGGGTTAAAGCCGCTATTTAGGAATTTTTGTATTTAATACAAACTGATACTTTTTTTATGTAAGAAGATGGCAAGTGAGCTGGCGGTTCATGTGATGTCAAATGATAACCGCCGCCCATGGAAATTTGTGACACGCGATTTGGGTCCCGGCTACCTCTCTCATCAGACGAAACGCAGGTATAATACTACTTAATTAATAATACTTCCACTTCGTGCCGGTCTTCTGCGAGTTCGGGGACAGTTAACAACTACACCGCTTGGCCCACATCTCCACGGCAAGAAAATATTCATCACTGAACACGTAGTGCTAATAAAAACCGTTGTTTATTAATACTTAAATAGCTATAAATCAAAACAAGAGTGATTAAAGTAAAGTAAAATATACTTTATTGTACACCATAGAAACATTACAGTATTTATAATTTTAAAAAACACACAGGTCCATACAACAGGCGGCTTATCGCTTAAACAGCGATCTCTTCCCGGCAACCTTAGGGCAGAGAAATTCATTAAAAGAAGAAAGTGACAAGGGTGTACTAAATAAATATTAAGAAAAATACATACATATAAATACATAACATTATGTATATATACCAGAAAATAATATATAATGGACGACAGATAGAAGATTAAGAGGAAAGGTAATGTAATTTTATTTTATTTTTTAACTTTATTATATTTTTAACAAGGACCAAGTATGTAAGAAAAAAGAATTAATTGAAATATATCCAGCAGTTATTCCATGATGCCCACATAACGGCAGACCTCTATCAGTTTTTTGTATGGAAAAGCGTCTATGTAATTATTTTTCAAAACGATCACAACAAATATGCATACGCTGAATGCCCACTATAAAGCTAGTGTGTCAAACCCCGTCAAAGACCTTCGAGATATCAAGGGCAACCGCAAGTGTTTTACCATATTTCACGAGCGCCTCACCACAAAGTTGAGTCGCGCATACTAAAATACCTCCAGTCGCTCGTCATCGGAAAAATTTATAACTGTTCTCCTTATAAATGATTATCAAGGAATCTGTTTAACGATTCCTAGATAATTAAATGTGAATCATTAGAAATATTGAAGATTTTTTATTATTTCATTGAGTGCAGATTAGCCCTAAAATAAAAATAAAAATATTAGTCCGTTCAAAAATTAAATATACATAAAACCCTTACTACGTAATCACTATTAGTAGTTACACAGTATTAGTAGTTTACAATAGCTGCAAACATTATTTACTTATGATTACATTACAATTTCGGTTATGCCGTAGCATTTTTCATACCTCATAGCTAAGGCATTTTCGTGTAAAGATATAGATACACGATTTCTTTTTGATAACGTATGTAATGTGATTTATTTTTAATCTACGCAAATAAGAAGTTGTACTTCTTTGGCGAAACAAAACAAAAATAAACATAACATAAACGCCATGATGTTAATCGGGTTTCGGAGACATGAAGTTAGTCGATAAAGTTATGACAAATTATTGACCGCCATAGCCTTTATTATAGCCTCGCAGCTAGAAAGTTTCGTGTCCAGCTGTTGTTATACAGGATTCCTGTTTTTTCTGCTGTATTCTTGAAATGTGAATCACCAAAATAAAAGAGACGTCTGTGTACTTATTTCCGCTCGTAAGACGTTCCAATCCTCTGGCGTAACAAAATAAAAATGAACATTACATTAACCATGGAGACTTCATGAAGTTATGGACATTATAGATGTTTCACACATAACCATGTCGCCGGCTCGCTTCGTGATTATAATTTCATGTTGCCGTGCTCGGTGATCGTAAAAATTCACTCCCATTACTTTTTCCCTAACGCGCGAACTTGAAAAATACATAACTTTTGCGAGTTTCACGCCTAAACTACGCGCGGCAATAGTAGAACGGAGTGGTTACGGTACCGCGCATGTTTCACTCGACTTTATCCCTTTGTTTTGACACGTCCAATGATGGAATGCGGTGTCGGACGCCCGTTCACCGTTTTATACTTTCCCGGTATACGGCGTGGCAGTGAAAAAAGCGTTTTTTATGTGAGAAAGTGGCAAACGGGCTGGCGGTTCACCTCATGTTAAGTGATAAACCGCCGCCCATGGACATTTGCAACACCCGTAGGGGTGCAAATGCGTTGCCACCCATAAATAAAGTGGACCCCGGCTACCTCACTCACCAGACGAAACGCAGAAGTATAACACTTCTAATTTACGCTGGTTATCTGTGAGGTAGTGGTACTTACCCAAACGGACCTGCCCATTCATGCAAAAGTGAACAGTGTTGCGTGATCCTACCACGGTCAAGCCTCCGCTCAAATACCGCGATTGCCTAAACATTCTTGGAAAAGGGTTGTAAATTCGGCCAGAGCGTGCGTAGAAATCGGAAAGTATCACCCTGACATGTGTACGGCGTTTGTTAAAAAATTCGCGCGAACCGCAATAACTTAGCCTAACTCCCATCGAGGCGGGCTCGTAAACGCAAATCCGGAGATTTACTCCGCATCACTTACGCGGTTGCGATAAACTACACGTATTACGACAAGCAGATGTCTTTTTATCTCTGCCATGACACAGGGCCTTTTCACAGACGATACAACAGGTTATATTATCCGAAACTATAAGTAAAGGGTAATATAAAAGATATTACATTATATTCGAAACTTTTAAGTAAAATATGGTATAAAATTTATATACTCATCATTACATGTAAGACCCACCCGTGATTTCTATACTTTCGTAAATTAAAATCCTTTTTAATCAGTGATTGCTTTAAACAGTTGAAACAATTGATGAGCAAAATTAATTTCTAACGAGTGTGTGAAATAATAATCTGTGTGTAATTAAAACAATTCACCGAGACTCTGAGCGACATCAGCTGTTATACTTTAAACTAGTAGTGAAGTAGATAGTACGGATAACCATAAGGTTAAGACCGATTTTTTTGCCCGCTGCCTAAACTAAAGCGTGGCGTTTTTAAATAAATCCACCGAAAACCGTTCGGAGAAGCGATCGAATTATCTCCTGAACGGTTTTATGCGGCGCGCGTCGGTTTACGATTGCAACAGTGTTGCCAGTGACGGGACCGGGTTGATTTATTGAGGAGTTTCGTGTGGCAACGGCGCGAACTCGGCGATTTTGAAATGGCAACTCATTTCGAATTTGCTTGCATTTCGCCCGATACTTTGTTATGGCGAATGGAGCGTTTTTTATTGTCCTCGCGGGTCGCGCTTACGAGGGGCCGAGCGGGTGGCTCAGAAAATGCGTAGCGTGCCAGTTGCGGATTATTGCTACCCGTTTTTGCTTTAAGGCGATATAGGTTTTCGTAAATCTTTAAAGCGAATTTATGACTCGACTTTTGATTTAATATTGAAGGTAATTTGATGGCGGTTTGCTGACTCAGTGAAGCAGGTGCCAAGCTATTGGCTTTGGCGTCTGGGTATATGTAGCAGTATATGTGGCACCCACACACAATTATTCCGGATTTAGGTGTTTCTTTCTAGGGAGGGTTGACGCCACGCAGGTCTGGTCGTAAAAACCCAGCCAGTGAGTACCATTAACAACATGATTAACATGTATTGCCGACCGCACCTAAGTAGGATAAGGGCACGAGAAGATGAAGGAGATTGAAGAGGAACGATGGCAATTTGAAAAAAAAAAAAAAAACATATTGGTGCCTTTTATCAGCTTTTTGTTCTTGTTTTAAATATAAACAATTTGGTGTGGCTTATTTCCTATGCGTTCCTAAGATTGTCAAGAAAGTGTTCAATGAGTTTTTCTGAAAACGCCCTGAAAGACTGACGTTAAAAAAAAAGAAAGAAATTTATAAATGCAAAAGTAACTCTGTTCTGTCTCGTTTTCACTCCAAAACTTCTGAACCGACATAAATGAAATTTGGTACACAGATAGCCTGAGAAAGGACATAGGCAATTTTTTTATTGGAAAAAAGTTTTGAAAGATATTTATTTAAGGGCTCCAACGCGAGCGAAGCCGCGGGTGAAAAGCTAGTATTTCATAAAGAATTTTGAGATTTAGTTAATATTGGTCCTCATATAATTTAGTTTCAT